ATTTCTGTGGGGTCAGTAATGCCCCCTAAAAAGTGATTTTGTTAAATTATATGATTGTATTTAGTGATTTCACCTAGTTACAATGAGTGGCATTCGCTTAGCAAATTCAGAGTATAAAGAAAACAAATCCATCCGGGTGGTGGTGGTACACACCTTTTATCCCAGCACTCAGGAGGCAGAGGTAGGCAGATCTCTGTGACTTCAAGGCCATCCTGGTCTAAAGTGAGTTCCAGGATAGCTAGGACTTAAAAACAAAACCAACCAACCAAACAAACAAACAGGAAAGAGAAGAAATTGGTTGTAAATGCTGGTCATTGGGGTCCAGGAAGTCACTGCCTGTGAAGTGTGCTATAGAGCTTGAGAGTTATGGAGAGAGAGAGGTCTGGGGATCCTGAGAGGATACTTCAGGGGCTCTCTTCATGGGGAGAAGACAGCTGTTATGTTTATCAGTTGGGATTTCTCTTATGACTGAGGAGTTGGGAGGGGACCCCAGGGTCTCTCTAAGTTGCTGGGAAGGGCATCATGGCAGAGGCTGGCAGACTTGGGGCATGCCCAAGTCTGGATGTTAGGCCTCAAGCACAAAAAAGATTGGTTTCTGGAGTTTCTTGTCACCCTGTTTCTAGTTCTTAGTTTCCTCACCTACCTCAGTTGTTAATTTGAGCACTCAAAAAGATTGGTTTCTGGAGTTTCTTGTCACCCTGTTTCTAGTTCTTAAGTTTCCTCACCTACCTCAGTTGTTAATTTGACTCCTTTGCCTTCCTTTCTTCTATTCCTTCAGGCTCCATCATTACCTGGCTGCCCTCCCCATCATAGCTTTAAAAGCTGTCCTTATTGCTGTGATGTCTCAGATTAGTGCCTCCAGGCTGGAACCCTCCTACTTAATGACATCTGCCTGCCTGAAGGCTTCATTTGCGCAAGCTTAGCCTCTGTGTGTTAGTTACCTGTCTGCTGCTGTGAGGAATGGTTTAATTTGGTTCTTGGTTTCTGTCTTTGGTCACTCCGCCCTGTTCTTTGGCTCCATGATGGGAACTTGTGGAGAAGGTCTGTTTACCTGGTGGTGACTAGGAAGCTGAGAGGTGGGGTGTGGGGAGAGAGGGAAAGGAGCTGAGAGTCCCAGTAGTCCCTTTCAAGGTCATGCCTTCCGTGACCTGACTGGGTTCCTTTAGATGATTCCATCATTGCTCAAGGGTGCCACAGGCTAACTACCAAGCCTTGATGTGTGGGCCTTTGGGGGACATCTATGGTAATCTGAACTGCCAACCCCATTTCAGGTCATCCCTTTTTTCTCCTGCCCTGCTAGCAAAGCTACTGTCTGCCTTGCTCAGGTCTGGTCTTGAAATCGTTGATACTTTTATGTTCCTTCCTGTCTCTCCCCTTCAGTTCATCAGAGAATCTTGTAACTCATGACCACTTCTCCCCACCTCCTGCATTAATCATAAGGGTTCAAGCTCCCTGCCTCTCACCTGTCTAGCAGCCTGGGATTGGGGATACCCTCCCCACATTGGCTTCGACCCATGCTGCCCACATTTCTCAACACAGATTCCAGAGGGATCCCTTGTCACAGTCACTGATCACACATCCCTGCTCCAAATCCTCCTGCAGTTTCTCATTTTATTAGGAGTAAAACCTAGGGCCATAAAATCTGGCTGAGTAAATACATATGGATGGTAAGAATGGACAGATTCACCCCAGAATTCTGAGTTGGGGGGGTCTATTCTCCTCCTGAGAAACTTGTGGCTTTCCTATTGGACTCCTTCCAGAGAGCGTGATAAGAAAAGCAGGAAAGGGAGTGACCTCGCTCTGGAGAAAAGTGACAAGATCTCAGATGAGTTGTCGATGATGTCAGCGTCAGCACTGGGATGTCATGTGTGTCACTGGTATGATGTGTGGACAACGACACTGGTCTTCTTCAAGACAGTCCCAATCTAATCATCAAACATGATGAACTCCAGTGCGTGACAATGCTGGCTCCTTAGTCACGCGGTCATGTGAGATGCTAATGCAGAGACTGCAAATATTCTCTAAATGTAAGAGGATTTTACAATAAAACCGTGATTTTTTTTCTCTTCCACCCTCTGTCCCTGCCCTCTTTTCCTGCCCCACTGTGCTCCAGCCCTACTATGCTCCAGCCCCAGGGCTCTCTCAGTTTTGTTTTTCCCTCATCCCACTGTGTCCTAGAGAACCCAGGCTTTGCTGCCCAGAAATGCCACTCATGCTCAACTTGAAAAATACACTTGGAAATGAGGTTCTCCTCTCCCCGGGCCGGTGTGCAGTCTCTAGCTATGGGCTGCCCTAGAAGCCCTTACCCATCATCCACTGGGCTCTTCCTCCCTTTATAGCCTGTTTGTCTTACCTGAAAGTGTGCCATCCGTCAGGTGTGGGAAGTCTGGATCACCTTCATTTCCCCAGCTCCTAGAGCTGTACCTGCCTCTCAGTAGGTGTCCATTACATATTTCTTGAAGGACTTCAATAATTAAAAGAGCAAGCAGATGGTAAACATAATTAAACTAAAAATTGATGCAGTGCAGGACAAATGAATCTGTCTCCCTGTGTTTATTCCTTCTCCCTCCAAATGTTACCGAAGTGAGCTTTGTCAGGAATTGGTGAGAATCTGTCAAGAAGTTTGTTCAGTGTGAAGCATCCCCATATACATAAGCATGGTCCCCCCGGTTTGGCAAACAATGAGTGGGATCAGCTTAGTTTTGCTAGGTCCATTTCTGTAGATATCTTTACATATCAGTGTGTTGAACGTCACTTTATTTTTGATGGCTGTGTAATATTTTATCTGTAAAACTAAGCAAACACGCAGAAGCAGTTACAGTAGAATCTTGATGTGATTGTTGACGGTGAAGTGGATCATAGTAACATTTTCTCCTAAAACCTAATGTGTTTGTTGAAGGACAACACCTGCTCAGCATCATTTCTTTAGATAATCTTTTTTTTTTCTATAGATGGTCTCTAAAGCATTTTCCTAACACACATTTTTATATTCCTAGTTCAAATGTGTTTGGGTTATGATCGTTGCCTTTCTCAAATCTTTACATGCAGGAAATGGTAATATTTCATAGTCTGATCTTAATGCCTGTGATTGAACTGAATGGAACTTTTATTTTTGTTTTGTGAAGATTACAGAATTTTTTTTAATAAAAATTCACATTTCCCCAAATACGAGAACTGGTGAGCAGATTGAGATTTTTGTAGAGGTAGTTTTGGGAGGAGTTTTTATTTTGCTAAATAACCCTCGTTCCCCTTAGAGGTGAGAGATCTGTGTGATGTCCTGACTTGTCTGTTGAGGAGGTGGATAGCTGTACAGTTGCTGAGGGTGCCCAACTCGAACTTGACTCAGTATCAATTAAACTTCTGATTGCTTTAGGCATATCAGTTCCCTTCCTTTCTCCCCCTCTAATAAAATGACTAATGGGGCAAGTTGGCAGTGGCTGAGTTAAGCTACTGTAAATTAATGTTGCCGTACAAATTTTGCTGGGCTGTCAAGCCAGCCCTCCAGTCTGCTGTTTCTTTCCCCTTTGCTAGCACTTACAATTTATGCATGTTAAGCCGGCAGTTACTTTGCAAGGGTGCATTTCTGGACTGAGCTGTCAGTGCTAGGAGTTTGTGAAAATGCATATTTTTTCCCCTCAGGATGAATTTGTTGGCATGATAAAGAACAGCTGGTCAGAAAAAAAAAATCCTTTCTCAGATCTCAACCCGGTGGACATGGCCCACCTTCCCACTTGTTAAAGGCCGCCTTTTGTTCAGGCATCCTGTCTTCCTCCGCAGCTCCCTCTGCCCTTCCTGCAGTTCTGCCTCCTTGCCACCTTGATTCCAAGCTTTGATGATTTAGTTTTTTTGTGTATGCATATCTCGTCTTTTATTGGGGACCCCCGGGTGACCGGTTGTTCAGGGTTTTGAAGATACCAGACCCTTGAACAAGGGGTTATTGACAGCAGTGACGATAAAACTAGAATGTTCAGGGTGAGATTTGCCTCTCTGCCTTGGAAGGAACTGTTAAGCTATCCAGGTTTTCATGTTCGAAAATGACCTTTTACTGTCTGCTTGCAGTGTTTTAGAAATTACTTGAGTACAGATTTCATGGCAGTGATTACTGTAATTCCTTCAAATAGTTTTATAGTACTAAATGAGACAGTAAAGACATGTTATAGGGAGTGAACTTAATTATTTTTATGAAGAAATAATTTCAGGATAAATTTTCAAGTGGGATTGCAAGCTGCCATTATACAAGAGCCTGTAAAAGCACCGTTTAGGACTTTTTCTTAGAAGCTTTGCATGTTTACAGTACTTTGTTCGAACAAATCTGTAAGCTTCCCTGGCTTAGTGACACATGCCTGTCACTCTAGCAGTGGGAGATCGAGTCAAGAGAATCAGGAGTTCAAGTCCATCCTCAACTAAATAATGAGTCTGAGGCCAGCCTAGGTGATGTGAAGCCCTGTCTCAGAGAATTTCTCCTTCCCTCCCATGAAAATGAGTTTATAAGATTTTTGAAAATACAATTCCTGGTGTGTAAGAAAAGATATATAATATCCTGTCTTTTCAAAAGCAGATGTTTGTGTTTGCCCTGAAGACCTAAGTGTAACAATAAAATTGGGGGCTGTGGAGAGATAGGTCAATAGTTAAGAGCACTACTCTTGCAGAGGACTTGGGTTCAAATCCCAGCACCTGCATAGCTACTAACAACCATCTGTAAGTCCATTTCCAGGGAATCCGACCTCCTCCTCCGGCCTCTTTAGGCACTGCATGCATGAACACATATAATACTCTTGTTCACAGATGTAACACTTATACACCTGAAGACAATACTAGCAAGAAAAAGATTGCCGTTGACCATATTTCTAGATGTGTTAGATTGTTGATGTTTGTATTGGGAAGCATTTAGTCATATTCCGTATAGGTGGGAAATGCTGCCTTAAATATATAAGGCTTACATTTGTAATTGATTCATGTTTTATTTCCCCAAGTAACACTTCTTACTTCTTCTGTTACAGGTGGCCAGGAGTTAAACAATGGGGAGACACTTGGCCTTGCTTCTGCTTCTGCTCCTCTTTCTCCAGCATTTTGGAGATAGTGATGGAAGCCAAAGACTTGAACCCACCCCGCCTCTACAGTTTACACACTTCCAGTACAATGTCACTGTGCATGAAAACTCTGCAGCAAAAACCTACGTTGGCCACCCTAGAAAGATGGGCATCTACATCTTAGACTCCTCATGGGAAATAAGGTACAAAATCATCTCAGGAGACAGCGAAAACCTGTTCAAAGCGGAAGAGTATGTTCTTGGAGACTTTTGCTTTCTAAGAATAAGGACCAAAGGAGGAAACACAGCTATCCTTAATAGAGAAGTGCGAGACCATTACACACTGATAATCAAAGCCGTTGAAAAGAACACCAATGCCGAGGCCAGAACAAAGGTCAGGGTGCAAGTGCTGGATACAAACGACTTGAGGCCATTGTTCTCGCCCACCTCTTACAGTGTTTCCTTGCCCGAAAACACAGCCATAAGGACCAGTATTGCAAGAGTCAGTGCCACGGACGCGGATATCGGAACCAACGGTGAATTTTACTACAGTTTTAAAGACCGAACCGACATGTTTGCTATCCACCCAACCAGTGGCGTGGTTGTTTTGACTGGCAGGCTTGATTTCCTAGAGACCCAGCTCTATGAGCTGGAGATCCGGGCTGTGGACCGGGGAATGAAATTGTACGGTAGCAGTGGGATCAGCAGCATGGCCAAGCTGACGATTCACGTGGAACAGGCCAATGAGTGTGCGCCCGTGATAACGGCGGTGACATTATCACCCTCTGAGCTGGAGAAGGACCCAACATACGCTATTGTCACTGTGGAGGACTGTGATCAGGGTGCCAATGGGGAGATTGCGTCTTTAAGCATTGTGGCTGGCGACCTTCTTCAGCAGTTCAAAACAGTGAGGTCTTTCCCAGGGAGTAAAACATTCAAAGTCAAAGCCGTCGGGGCCATCGATTGGGATAGTCATCCTTATGGCTACAACCTGACACTACAGGCTAAAGACAAAGGGACTCCTCCCCAGTTTTCCCCCGTGAAAGTCATCCATGTCATTTCTCCCCAGTTCAGAGCTGGGCCGGTCAAGTTTGAAACGGATGTTTACAGAGCTGAGGTCAGTGAGTTTGCTCCTCCACATACACCCGTGGTCCTAATCAAAGCCATCCCTAGCTATTCCCACCTGAGGTATGTTTTTAAAAGCACCCCTGCAAGAGCTAAATTCAGTTTAAATCCCAACACGGGACTCATTTCCATTTTAGAACCCATTAAAAGGCAACACACATCCCACTTTGACCTTGAAGTGATGACAAGTGACAGAAAAGCCTCCACCAGAGTCGTGGTGAGCGTTGTAGGTACGAACAGCAATCCCCCTGAGTTTACACAGACCTCGTACAAAGCCTCCTTCGATGAGAATGCACCCGTTGGTACGACAGTGATGAGGGTGAGCGCAGTAGACCCAGATGAGGGTGAAAATGGCTACGTGACTTACAGTATTGCAAACTTAAATCATGTGCCGTTTGTCATTGACCACTTTACCGGTTCCGTGAGTACCTCTGAGGACCTGGACTATGAGCTCATGCCTCGAGTTTACACGCTAAGGATTCGCGCTTCCGACTGGGGTTTGCCCTACCGCCGGGAAGTTGAGGTCCTTGCCACGATCACTCTCAACAATCTGAATGACAACACCCCCTTGTTTGAGAAGATAAACTGTGAAGGGACAATTCCCAGAGACCTAGGTGTGGGGGAGCAGATAACCACAGTTTCTGCTATTGATGCTGACGAGCTTCAGTTGGTGCGCTACCAGATTGAAGCTGGTAATGAGTTGGATTTGTTTGGCTTAAACCCCAGCTCTGGGGTACTGTCATTAAAGCACTCACTAATGGATGGCTTGGGTGCAAAGGTTTCTTTTCACAGTTTGAGAATTACAGCTACAGATGGAGAAAATTTTGCCACACCGTTATACATCAACCTGACGGTGGCTGCCAGCCGCAAGCCAGTGAACTTGCAGTGCGAAGAGACTGGTGTTGCCAAAATGCTGGCAGAGAAACTTCTGCAGGCGAATAAATTACACAACCAGGGGGAGGTGGAGGATATTTTCTTCGATTCTCACTCGGTCAACGCCCACGCCCCACAGTTCAGGAGTGCTCTTCCAACTGGAATTGAGGTAAAGGAGAACCTCCCTGTGGGTGCCAACATAGCTTTCATGAATGCCACTGACCTGGACTCGGGCTTCAATGGAAAACTTGTCTATGCTATTTCTGGAGGAAATGATGACAGTTGCTTTACTATTGACATGGAATCAGGAATGCTTCAAGTCTTATCTCCACTTGACCGGGAAGTCACAGACAAATACACCCTGAACATTACTGTGTATGACCTCGGTATACCTCAGAGGGCTGCGTGGCGTCTTCTGGATGTCACAGTTCTGGATGCTAATGATAATCCCCCCGAGTTTTTACAGGAGAGTTACTTTGTTGAAGTGAGTGAAGACAAGGAGGTAAATAGTGAGATCATCCAGGTGGAAGCCACCGATAAGGATCTGGGCCCCAGTGGACATGTGACATACTCCATCCTCACAGACACAGATAAGTTTTCAATTGACAGCGCGACTGGTGTGGTGAGAATCATCCAACCTTTGGATCGTGAAGTACAGCCTGTGCATTACTTGAAGATTGAGGCCAGGGACCAGGCCACAGAAGAACCTCGGTTGTTCTCCACTGTGCTGTTGAAAGTGTCACTAGACGATGTTAATGACAATCCACCTAAGTTCATTCCACCTAACTACTCTGTGAAGGTTCGAGAAGATTTGCCGGAAGGAACCATAATCATGTGGTTAGAAGCCTATGACCCTGATGTAGGTCAGTCCAGTCAGGTGAGATACAGTCTCCTGGACCATGGAGAAGGCCACTTTGATGTGGATAAACTCAGTGGAGCTGTGCGAATTGTTCAGCAGCTGGACTTTGAGAAGAAGCAAGTGTATAATCTCACCATAAGGGCCAAAGACAAAGGGAAGCCAGTGTCCCTGTCTTCCACTTGCTATGTGGAAGTTGAGGTCGTTGATATGAACGAGAACTTACACACTCCAGTGTTCTCCAGCTTCGTGGAAAAGGGTGTAGTGAAAGAAGATGTCCCTACCGGCTCATCAGTGATGACCGTGTCAGCTCACGATGAGGACACTGGGAGAGATGGAGAGATCCGGTATTCCATTAGAGATGGTTCCGGTGTTGGTGTCTTCAGGATAGATGAAGTAACAGGCAAGTACTGTTGTCGCTTTCGCTGAATAGTCTCCTCTAGCTTCATGCCTTCACTGCATAATTCCCAGTTGGTTTCTGTCAGGACTCAGCATTGAAGTACATATACATGCTTTTTGTCCTTGTGGGGCTTTGAAGATGGAGTAAGCCACTAGGCTCTACCCAAAGGAACTGAAGGGTGAAGTGTATAGAAGATGAGTAAAAGAGAATTGAAATCATTACCACCGATACTCATCTTTTAAGTCTGTACTGTATTATCAAGACCATCATTGTGGTTTTGTAGTAATTTTGAAGCTCATTCCGGCTAAGGTGTTGCATGGTGTTAGGTTTGCATGCTAATACAGTAACATCAGTACCATTTGGCATGCTGTCTAGGAGGCGTTGCACACATGCAAAATTATGCAGTGTACCCAGAGATTTTATGCCTGCTCTACCCCCTCCAGGATTTGAGAGGCCATTGTAGGGTAATGGAATGTTGAACTAAAGAGACCTGGCTTGCAGCTGCCTTCTTCAGTCATGATCTTGGACAAGTGAAACACTTCTTAAAATTAACTTCTTTTTATCTATAAGAGGAAGACATTCAGCTTGTTGTTGTTGTTGTTATGATGTTGGGGATTGAACCTAGGACCTTCTGCATGTTAGGCAAGCACTCTGGACACAGCTTGGTATATCCTCAAGGCTTATGTGAGGAAGTAGTAAAGTAAGTGTTGGATTTACTAATTGTTTTTGAAATGGTGGCAGTGTTTTGCTATAGTGTGCTATAGTATCTTCCGGGATACAGTCCTAAAGCTGCAATCTCCAGGGCAGCTGGTTTGGTAATACCCCACGCATAAAACAGTAACAAAAAAAGCCCTTAGGATTTTAGCCATAAATCACCCTAGATGCTGTACTGTCATCTAAGGGTGTATAGCATGTGAGAATACAGACTTTTTAAAAATTATGTTCTATTAATTCAAGGGGTTTTCCCCTGATTGATTATATTTCACTAGCATCCCTCATGTAGACGTCTCCGAATTAGTTTAAGACAGAGGAAAATGGCAGAATCAATAGTGTTTGGTAATCTGTTTTCTGAAGGATAGACTCATTTTGGGGGTGTGTGTGTCCTGCTGTCCAGTATAAATTAGAATTTTTGGCCCAGTAATGACATAGAAAAATACTCAAAATTTAAGGTTGAAATTCCTACCCTTTTTTTCCTCAGCATAAATTTCAAAGCCTATAAGTAGCTGTTAGAAGTTAAAGTTGACTCAGAAAATATAGTTTCAGCCTTAATTTGCATTCTCTTCGTGACTTACATTATGAACACTGCCTTTTAACTGTTTTTTTTAAAAGTGAAAATAGCTTTTATTGCTGTTCAGAAGGATCACTTGGAAACTGGTATTTGTCACCTATAAATTTAAGGGGTGGGGTTGTTCCTGCTGCCAAATGGGGAGAAGGAGGAGACAAGTAGGCAAACAGGGTGGCATCCTGAAATAGACCCATATAGCTCTGTAGCAGCCAGGTGGGGCCTAGAGTTTTCCAGTGGTAATTTAGTGGGAGGGGAGCCTGGGGAAGCACTGGGATTCTGGGCAGTGACATTGGTTAGCGTTCGAGAGACTGTTTCCTGGGTCTATAATGATATTTAAAGGTAAGGGAAAAGCTGAGAAGTTCTAAGTCTCTATTCTGTGGTTCTTGTTTTACAGAGGACTATACTCCCTGTGTGATAGATGCTTCTGAAATTGTTTAAGTGACACGCTAGTTAGACATTTGGACCATTGTATTTAAAGATGTAAGTTGGGCAGCAGAATTATCTGACCTAGTTGTTTTATAGCTTTCCAACCAGGACAGTTGGTTTTAAGTGCTGTTTCTTCAGGAAAAATTTGTATTTTTTTGGGTGGTATAGCTGGTGAAGTGCTTGACATGCAAACAGGAAGCCTTAAGTTTGGATCCCTGCCACCCTTGTAAAACAGCTGGGCATGGGAGCCTTTGTCTGTAATCCCTGGCCTCAGGAGTCAGACACAGGCAGAGCTCTTTCTCTGGCCAGCCTAGGCAAGTGGGTGGGCTCCAGGTTCAGTGAGGGACCCTGTCCCCAAAAATAAGATGAAGGGCTTTCAAGATAGCTCATAGGTAAGGACTCTACACCAAGCCTGAAAACCAGAGTTCAGTCCCTGGAACTCACATGGTAGGAGAGGTGTGACCTCTGTAAGTTGTCCTCTGCCCTCCAAGTGGGTACTGTAGTGTGATTCTTCTTCTCCCCCCAAAATTAATGTATGTTAAAAAAAAAAGGTAGAGATTGAGAAACACCCAGTTGCCTCTACCCGCGTGCATACGCATCTGTGCCTGTACCTGCATTCCTGTGCACACACACCCACAGCTAATACTAGCAAGCTGGTTTTTTAAGTTTGACCAGTACAGAAGTACAGAAAGATTTCTGTCTACTGAAGAAAAGCAGGGGCAGCTGGGGGAGCCTGGGAACCTCACAGAAGACAATCCTAACGTGCAGGTAAACTGGAGGCAGACTGGCTGAAGTCAGGCTAGCACTTGGCTCCTTGCCCATTTCCACAGTGTTTACTTACATTGGTGCATTTGTTTGATGTTGCGCTGAGTGATCAGGGCCTGTGCAGGGCCACCATGATGGCTAGTTTCTGTCCACTTGACACCAGCTAGAGCCACCTGGGAGGAGGGACCCTCAGTCGAAGATAGGCCTCCATCTGATAGGCCTCCATCTGATTGGCCTGTGGGTATATATGCTGCGGGGGGGGGGGGGGCATTTGCTTGATTGTTGGTAGATGTGGGAGAGCCCCGCCCACTATGGGTGTCCGCAGCTGGGCCGGTGGTCCAGCGTTGTGGAAGAAAGCAGGCCAGGCGGAGCAAGTCGTAGGAAGCAAGCCAGAGCAGTGCTCCTTCATGGTCTCTCCCTTAGTTCCTCCCTCCAGGTTCCTGTTGACTTCCCTCAGTGTTGGAGTGTAAAATGAATTACATCCTATCTCCAAGTTGCTTTTGGTCAGTGTTTTGTCGTAGCAGCAGGGAAGCCAGCTAGGACAGCTGTTTTTGACTCTGGAGACCAGGGACCTGTCTACTTACCAATCTGCTTCTTGCCCTTGGCTTTCAGCTGCTGACACTGATTGAGTAACCTGAGCAGATTTTTGTGGCGGCTTAACTATTTCAACACTACCAAGTATGCATTTCTCTATGTACTTTTCACAGGCCAGGGAGCGGTTCAGTAGCCTGACTCGAATTCTTACCCTGTTTAAGACTCTTCTCTTTATCTGCTTCCGTTTCAAGCACCCACAAAAATAGTGACTAGAAAATTCTATGGACTCCCTAAAGTGTGCCAGCCAATAAATACACAGCTGTATTAGTTGCGAGTTTCATACATATTTTGCTAATTGCTTTGCAGGGGGTAATATGTAGTTGAAGTGTGGGAGTGGCAGCCATCTGCCTATCTGACCCCCTCTGTGGATGTTTTTCTCAGCAGCTTCTGGGGTTCAGCTATTCTAAGGGGTCCTGGCCTTGGTGATCGCTCTGCCACTTGAGGTTTGCAAGGGTAGAGCACTGTGTGGAAAAACTACTTGGGAAGCCAGTGTTCTCCAAGTACCAACTTCCAGAGCTCTAATTACGGCTCTTGAAGTCAGTGAGGGGCCTGGGCGAGTGGTCCAGTAGGGAAAGCGTTGCCGTTTGCCCTTTGCCTCCCCAGCACCTATGCTAGTCAGTCCAGTCGGGGCGGAGCTGGTCCCCAGCCCAGTGGCAGGGTGGCTAAGAGGTGGGCAGATCCTTGAAGCTCATTGGAACGTGCCTGGTAGGAGGAGAGAACAGACTCCATAAGTTGTCCTTCGACCTCCCCATGGGTACTGTGGGATGGTTCCTCTTCTCCCCTGACAAAATACATATGTGTTAAAAAAAGAAAGGTAATTGAGGAACACGCCTAATGGTCTCCACCCACATGCTTGTACATCTGCATATATGCCTGTGTTCACATGGGTGAAGATGAAGAGGGCTGAGGAAAAACTTGACTCTAACTCTGAAGTGTACCAGCTTGTGAGTGACCACCAGCACACACCTGTGTTTGCAAGGGCTCCTATGTATGCACACGCACTCAAATATCATTGCTGAGGATTCTAAGGAAAGATTGATGGAAATGCTTCTTGGGGTGTCTTTGAAGCATGTCTGAGTGCATGCTTAGTTTTTGGTCCAGGGACATTACACTGCACTTTACCTCTCTTTTTTTATTTTTTTGCATTGTGCTTCTGGTTGCTTTGTTGTAAGCTTCTCTTTTTTACCTTTCTGGAATAAATCCTTTAGCTCTCCTTCCCCCACCATGTCTGTTATTGCCTGAGGAGCAGGATCTTACATCATTTTCTTAATTTTGGAAACTAAGTCAGTTGACAGAAATGCTCAGCCCACATTGTGTTTTGTTGTTGTTTGTTTGGTTGGCTTTGTTTTGTTTTTATTTTAATTGTTAGAGGACATGTTGAAGGCAATGCTTCGTTGAGTCTTTTCCCCAGGGTGGGTGGGGTAATGGATGCCTGTGGGTACCACAATTCCTCTTCATGCTGGGATAGTTTGGTTCAGTATTTGGTTGTTGCTGGAGATGCATCTCAGAGTGTTTCCTGTTCTAACTGCATCTTTGGGGAGCCCATATTTTTCATTAAGATAAGAGCAAATTGTAAGCTTACTAATGATGTGTTACTTGCAGACTCAACTGTGTTTTCAGAATTGAAATTTATGTTTCCATGGAAAACTTGGAATGATTAATATGGAAATCTAGCTGTTGTGACAAGAGAAATCCTCATCTAAGAGATGTGGGAGGGAAAGGGCTACATCTCTCCCCCCCACCCTTCCCCCTCCAGTACCTACTTACCTACAGATGTAGGCAAACATCTGTATTCTCAGGCCTTTTATTGTGGTGAAATTTTGATACAGGGTCTCACTGAGACTACAGACTTCCACCACTAGGCCTGTCTGAGCCGAACTGCTTTTCTCTGACAGGGAAATGGGGTGGTGTTCTCTTTATGGGAACATCTTAG